CCCCAAAACCCCAAAACCCCAAAACCCCTGAGTTAAATATCTGGAAGTTAAAAATAATTAATAAAAATGAAAAGTCTAAGACTAGGCACAAAAGAGATCATTTTGGAATTGAAGATTCAAAAGCTTAAATTAAATTCCTCTTAAATAAGATAGATTCATATTGAGTGGATTAGAGGTATAATGACAAATTATTCAATAATTTAACTAAAGGAAACAAGAAAGTCCCTACTAAATCCTTTGAGATTTAAGCAGGAGATAATAATTACGAGATCAATGAAAGATTTTAGATTTAGACTGCTCTAAATTACGATAAAGTTAAATTATACTTTGAACATAAACCAGTAAATCATCTTTACTAAATAAGTATACAACTATAGTCGAAACTGTCTGTTGTATGCAAAGATGATAAGCAGATTGGATATTGTGACTTAGATATTTCTTAATTTGCTACACTAGAAAATAAACCTATTAGAAAGGTTGTGACACTTCCTTTGGTTGAATGCGAAGATAAAGAAGCATCACTAGAGTTATTAATAAAAATGAAATAAGTTGATCCAAAAGAAAAACCTACTGAATAATCAGCAGAATTAATTGAGTATTAGAAATAATTAGAGTAGTAAATACTTCAATTAACCTAAGAATCTGATGTGTTGAGGTATTATTATATGAATTATGATATTAATAGAGAATCAGTTAAATAACTTAAGGACTAATTTGAAGAGAATGACAAGCAATATAAGTTTAACATTGAGGAAATTGAGAAAAACATTGAGGAAAAAGAACAAAACATAAGTCAACTAAATCTTCACATTATAATGATTAGAAATTAGAAAGAGCATTTGTAATAGAATCTTTTAGATCTAGAGCAAGGCAAAATGAATAGAAATGAAATTATCAAGCAAAAGAATCAATAGTCATTACAGCTTGACCATGATATCGATATGTTGTAGCAGGAACTTAAAGCAATTCAGCATAAAAATGACGAGCTAAAAAGTTTCAAGTAAGATTAGTTATTTTTTTAACTACTAAAGGGAGCCAAGATTTGTTGATTTCAAGGCTGAAATTGAAAGAATGAAATCAGAAATTGAAGAAATTAAGAGGCAAGATGAAGAGAGATACGGTTTTGATGATTATTTTTGATAATCTATGCTTATTTTTATTATTTGTCAATTATATGCTTAATTTAATAACAAACTGAATTATTGGTTGAAGTAATTATATTTATTAATAAATAAATTAAGATGGAGCAAGAATCAACCAGATTAGCTGACGAGTTGTTTAAACTTAAAGAGGAAATTAGATAAATAGAAGGAATATATTAGAATGTCTAAAATCAAGCTATGGCACTTTAATTGCAAGACCAAAATATCCTTGACCTTCAAAATAACAAATAAAAGTTGGATTTAGAGGTATCTAAAGTTTAAGAAGCTCTTGATATTTAAACTAAAAATAATAATTATTTTGCTGCAATTATGAAGTCAACATGTGATAATTTGAGAATAGAGCAATCTTTAGTGAAAGAGTTTGCATAAAAATAGTTTCAGAGTTATATTGAATTTCTTTAATTATAAAATGCTGAATATTAAGCAGCAGTCTAATCAAACCTTTAAAGATATCAAGCTTTACAAACATAAAATAACTAGTTGAGGAAGGATATAGATCAAATCAAAGTTAAGATTTCTAGAGTTATAGCAAATACAAATTATGGATAATAGATTATTTAGCTTTCTAATCATTGGAAACAGCAATATAGAACAGACTTTATTGCATAATCGAGAATGATGCTTGAAAAAGTTTAAAAATTAACAATTGAAATCAATGCAAATTTTCAAATAAATCTGAATAAACAATAGCATCTCTTATCTTAGCAAAGATAAGTTGAGCATATTCAATAAAATATAAAAAAATTACAGTAATGCATTTATTCAATTGCAAACTTTAATGAAATATTGAAAGGTGATATTAGCAAACTTGAAGTTTACGAGCTAGAATGGAAATAATCTATCTAACAAAGTGAAAATTAGAATAAGATTTCATAGAATTAGGATTAGAAATTGCATATGTAAGAAATTGATTAGAATGAAGATAAAAATATCTAGCTTAAACATCAGATTAATTAATCTCAAATAGAGGAAGATGGAAAATATAGATTGCTACAATGGTATAAGGAATAAATAGATGAAAAGGATAGATAGATATATTAAACAAGCACATAAATTAACAATAAGAAGTAAAACTCAATAATGATGTATTAGTAATTAAATGGAGAGATATTGCAAATAGAAACTTAGACTATTTAGCTGAAACAGCAAGTTGATGTATCTTAGAAATAGCAGATTAAAATAAGGCAAGCCATTCAAAATGAAGATAAGACCTAAAGAGAGAATGAATCTGTCATTAAAATGCTAAATGAAAAGATGAGAGTAAATCCAGATGCAGTTGGCAGCTAGATTAACTATTATGCTGTTTTCTTTCTGATGATTCTTATGACAATGTATTTCTTTTGATTTAATGATTGATATATAATTAAAATAGTTTTATAATTTAATTCAAATTTGAAGAACTAGCTTACCGGGGTTTTGGGGTTTTGGGGTTTTGGGG